CATCTCTATCCTATTTACTTATATAAATTATCAGTTTTAGAAATACATGTTCTAATACTTTATCAATCAGAATTCTTTTATTTGAGCATAAAACTTTCTGGAATATACTACTTCAAAAGTAATTATTTTTTAATTGTTTTTTTTTTGTTTTCAGTTTTCTATGGATACTCAAATTCCTTAATACACTATCCTTCTCTGGCTATAACACATATTAAATGCAGATGATAAGTATGTACCCTTGAATTAGTATCTTACAAACTTAAGAAATAAAACAAATAGGAAAAAATTGGCAAAATAATTACCCCAGTTTGAAAGAACTGAGCTAAATTGGTCTAGAGTCTTCTAAAGTATGACCTTTTCCAGAGACAGATACTCATTCAGTCAGCCTTCCACATCTGTGGGTTTACCTCCATGAATTCAACCAAACATGGATGGTAAGTACTGGGGGAAAATTGGTTTCTGCAATAAACATATACAGACATGTTTTTCTTGTCAATAGTCCCTGAATAATGTGGTATGASAACTATCTACAGAGCATTTACATCGCATTAGGTTTTATAAGCATTCAAGAGATTATAGAATGTATAAGGGAGAATGCAAGTAGATTATATGAAAATACTACATCATTTTTCAGAAGGAACTTGAACACCCTCAAATTTTGGTATTCCAACCACTTTTTGCTATTTCAAGTTTCATTTATAATAACTTCTATTATATTACAGTATCATAGATAGTTTCTGCTTTTTCTTTGTACTACTTTTCTGCTTTATATACTCACTGATTCTGCATCCTCTTTAGAGCCCTTAAAATATACAGCCCCAAAAAGTCCATCTATAAAATAAACCATGAATTGAGTACTTATTATGAACCTGCCTTGTGTCTGGCATCCATTAGTGTAGACTCMGTTCTTGGCTTATGGAAAGGCATGTTCTCGTAGGCACCACCATTGCCAACTGTTCAGATACTAAATTTCATTCTTGAGTCCCCAGAATAGCACCACTTCACATACCCTCTCCTCAGGATGATCAAGGTGTATCTTCATGGAAGGAACTAGAAATTCTGTTGTCACTTGGAATTTTCAAGGTATGGGTACAAAGCATTGGTCTTCATTTCAAGAATATTGTTTTTCATAATGTTGAAGACACAAACAGTAGGTGGTACTTCTGCCAAATAACAAATGAAATTCTTTGCCATTAAAATTCATTCAATAAATGTGTAGTGAGTTGCATAGGCTCTCTCTCATCCAGCGAGGAAGTCCACAGAACAGGGTAGAGGAGAGTGTGGCTGCAGAGTTGCTAATTAAGACCAAGCAGGAAGCAATTCTGATTTTATTGTGCAGTAACCATATATATATACTCAGGCAGAACCTAAGCAAAATATAGACAGCCACCAATGCAATCTCTGCTAACTGTCCTTGCAGCAACCRATGGAGGAGTGGGCCGTGGAGCAAGCACAAGKACTACAACACATGGCCTCATGCCCTGGGCTCTGCATATGGGGTAAGCAGCCTGCCACTCACACCTAGCACAAGGGGAGTGGTCTTCSACTCACACACCCTTAACATATGCCAGGTACACAGCACTCCATGCACTTGTCCCCACAGTGAGTCCTTTTGAGCAATGAAATATGCTAAATAAAGAAACATATTATTTTTTCCAAATTAAAATGTACACACACACACACACACACACACACATGCACACTTTTATAAACTCATTTTTCACATAAGGAAAATCAAGTTCAAGGAGAGTAAAAACTACCAATGTCTTCATAAGATTTACATCCTATTTTAATACCTTTGTTATTACAATATTATGCAATATTATGACCTGCTTCAACTTTTAAAGCAGATAGATATTTATGAATCAAGACCACTGATATGAAATAAACATAAACCTTTCATCACTTATAAGCTGAGATGTATCAATTCTAATTGACACAATATCATGAAAGTAGCATAACTTGGATGCAATTAATGATGAGAGGTATTATATGATCAAAGTTTGAAATTATGGCCTTTGGCAAAAATCAACAAAAAAATAATACCTTAGATTTGGAGGGTAATTAATTTGTTGTATTTGCCAACATGGGCTGTTTATTTATCTTTCCTAYCACAACACCCACAAACAGAATCCTCTGCCATTAGTTTTTATGTACCTTCAAGGAAAGGACCAAACACAATTCCTCCCACTTACAGACATTAAATCAATCTTTATCGAGTACATAAGTGAATAATAAATTAGCTCTTGAATCTGAATTGCTTTGAAAGCCATTCTGAATAGTGCTATGTCTGTAACTTCTAATGACTGTAATATTTATTAAGTGCCATTATTTCAGTTGCTGAAAGCTGTTAATGTGTTGAAACATCACAAAAATAAAAATGTAAACAGTCATCTGGACTCATCCAAATAATTCCTTTTTTCCTTGAAATTAATTTAGCTAAGTTTCTTTACATAATGTAACTGGACAGTTTTTTTAAAAAAGTTAAAGCTAAAGAAAAATACAAACGATAAAAAAAGCATTAGTGAAAATATTAAGATAATTCTTAAGGCAAAAGGTAAATAGAACCAAAATAAAGGAATGAATAAAAGCAGAAAGATTACTAGAAGGATATATTTGAATAAATAAGTATGTGCAAGAATAATATATCTTGAAACATCTAAAACATATGTATCAATGAAACATTCTCAAAGGCAAGAAACAGATGAATAAGACAAAGTGTTTTAAATTTCTAGAATTTTCTGAGAAAAAATTTATATTAAACTAATAAGTCATACATGTATGGTTTAATATTTAGGCTAAATTAAAACAACAATATGTTGAGATAAAGGACTTTATCCTTGACTATATAATGGATTTTCACTGATTAAAGAACAAACTATCCATTRGTATATCCAAAAGACATACTAAACAGACATTCWACAAAGGGGATGAACTGAAGACAAGTATGTGTATAAAAAGATTAGGAATATGAAAATCAGGGTCACAAGGACATATCACAACACATATATCAGAGAGGTAAAATAAAGATGCTGACAATACCAAATGATGAGAGAGATGTGGAAAGCTGGATCACTTATACCTTTCTGGTGGAAATGTAAAATTTTATAATCACCCTAGAAAAACAATTGATTCTTAAAAGACTAGACATGCTTTGTAATCCAACCCAGTAATTGTACTCTTGAGTGTTTACCCTAAGAAATAAAAATGTTTATCCACACAAGAATGACTATACAGATATTCACAGTATCTTTATTTGGAACACCCCAAACCTGATATCCTCCAAATTATCAATTTTTAAAATGTGGTATGTCTACATCATAAAATAGTACTATGAAAAGCAAAAGGAATGAACAATAAAAAAATGCAAACACTTGGAAGAATTTCAAGGAAATTTTGCTGAGAAAAAAATACCATACAACAAAGCTACATAGTATTTTTTAAATTACAAAAGAGAGATAAGGAACAGAACAAGTTCTCACAATTAGAGACACCGTGGGATAGGAAGGCAGGTGCCAGCAAGGTCAGAGGGCTAGAGATGGATTCTCGTGAAAACAGAGAAGTTTTGTAGCTGACTGTTGGTAAATACAGGAGTATGCACATGGGATGAAGTTTTGTAGAACTGAACACACACACACACGGACACACATACATGCACACCCCCCCCACACACACACACACACACATAAAATCTGAATGATCTGTAGATTTTATCAATGCCAAATTCCTAGCCATGATGCTGCACTATGCTTTTGCAAGATATTACCATTTGGAAAAATAGATAAAGTATATAAAGTCTCTACGTAGTATTTCTCATAACTACTTGTAAATTCACAATTATATCAAAATAAAACATTCAATCACAAAAAGCTAGTGTTTTGTTCAGCAAAAATATTAGAAGGGTAGATGCAGTCCCAGATAGATCAGTAATCACATTATAAGCAACTAAACTAAGTAATCTAATTAAAAGACTAATATTGTTATTTTGGATTAAAAATAAAAAGGAAAAAGGGGAAATCCAAATATATACAAATCTGAAGAGATAGCTTTAAATAACTAAGAAGAGTTGAAAAAGGAGTTTATAAAATGTATAGAACAATACATAATCTGGTTAGTATTTATCCTAATGGAGATAAAATGTACTTGAAGGCAAGGATATTTTCAGAGACATAGGATGTATCATAAAGGCAAAGTTACACATCAGGAATAATTCTAAATCTTCTTGTATACACTAACATAAAGTTAAATATATACAGTGAATGCTGACACACACTAAAAGGAGAAAAATACTATCATGGAAATGGGAGACTTGTAACACATCCCTCTAAATACTTTGCACCATAAAAAAACAAAAATATCATTAATAATACCAAAGCTCAGAACCACTCAAAACCCCATATGACCTACTAGAAATATGTGTGACATTGTATTAAAAATGACAATATTCATCCTTTCTAAAGGCATATGGAAATGTCTTCCCAATTTTCCATCAGCTGGGTAAAATCAAGCTTCAACAAATATGAAAGGATTGAAATCATCCAGCATGAAATTATACTTGAAAGCAATAACAAAAGTGATAATTAGAAAATCCCAAATTCATTCAAAAAATTTGCTGTATACTTAAAATATTCCATGGGTCAAAGGTATAACAAAAAGTAGTCAATATCATTAAATAAATAAAAGGAAGACAAGAATATSCACACTGCGGTGATTTCCAACACTGGCCATTCTAGGGAGATGCTCCCTAATGCACTTACAGGATATCTTGGACAGCCACAAGCAGTAGAGAGGACCTTGTTAGGTGAACCATATGGCTGCTTACCTGGCAACCTTGGGCTAGAGGAGTGACCAGATGGGCCAGTCCCCTTACTGCCTCCATCTATCCTGACTTGGCCCTTTAGAAACATGCTAAACGTTGGCATGGGAGGGCATAGTATGTTAAGCTGGAGTACAGGTCTCTTCTTTTCAATCGACAAGATACAGAGCCCACRTGAACTCACCGAGTCAAATCTGTGCCGGGAACATATTGGGACAAGCGGGAGTGAAGCAGAGGGATCAGTCTGAGGTCACACCATCGCTTCTCCCATCTCAAGCCTGGAGATGTTGGCCATGAGGAACATGATAGGGTGTCCTGAAAAGAAAACAAATGTTCAAACATTCAGATTCATGTTTGCTTMCCTGCTTTGGGTTTCTGTGCCAGAAACTCGTTTCATTTGTGGGTCACTGTTGTTGTTGTTTTTTTTTTTTTCCTTCATGTTAAATATTTGTAAAGACTTTTTTCTTCCTGAGAAGAAACCCAAACTGATTTACACTAAAATTGTATTTGTCAACCTCTCTGTTAATGGAATTCTGCATGAAGGTGTGGAAGGATTCATTCAGATGAAAAAAAAAAATGCTAGTGAAAATACATGGGGGTGCAGATGTGGAAGGGAGGAAAGAAGGTGTGGCAGAACTGAATCCACTGAGGAGTGGGAGAGAGGGGGCAAAGCAGCAGAATGCAACAAAAATAAAAAGGAGCCTTTATTCTTTCAATTAGACAATATTTTCTGAGTACCTGCTAAGTGCTAGGCAAGCATCATTATAAGTGCATATAATTTATCATTTACTTGCAAATATTTTTGAATGAATGTGCCTTTCTATAAAACAGATTTCAAAACACTGCTCAGGGAAGTTCTGGCTCATTGTTTTAGCTTCGTGTTTATAAAACCTGACATTTTCTTGTATTGTTTTGATGTCATATTGAGGCAATTATTGCTGGTTTGAAATTACATGAAATATAAGTCTTGATGGGTGTCTTTTTTCCTCCCTCATTTATTGAGGAGATGTCAGGAAATTTGAGCATTTCCACATCGTTTTATTCCAGATTCATTGTTAAAACTGTTTTGCAACAGCAGTTGACACAGAGTGTAAGTGTGTTCTGGTTTCATTTGACCAGAGAACTGCTGAATTGTCACATCTATTCACTGATTTTTGAGTGATGGTGTTAGAAGAATTTATTTTAATCTAGATTTAAAGTTGTATAAATATGTTTGAGCATTACCTTCAGGAATTAATTTCCTTAAATGGATTTGAAAAGAATAATATTATGTTCAGGATATACTATCTTTGGAGATGCTTAAAACACTCAAAAAGTTGAACTAGCTAAGTTCAGCCAGTGAGGGGAGGGGACTCCTGTTGGGGACTAATTGAACTACTCAGCCTCTGAGATGCATGTCCTTTGCTTAAAACAAAATTGCTTATAATGATTATCTGGTAATTGTGAAGACAAAAAAGCAATGTTTCATATTATGTCCTAATTAGTCAGCACAAGATGTATGTTCAGTTCTTCATGAGGGATGTTGCAGATGGTCAACATGTGCCACGGGGTCAGTTGGGGAAAATTCAACAGGATGGTGGCTCAGTTTCCCAATGAGAACCAGACCACCCAGGTTTTAATCCCAATTTTCCAACTGCCTAGTCTATTAACCTAAGGTCAAGTTATTTAAAGTCTCTGTGTCTTACTGTGCCTATTTACAAAGTAGGGATATTAAAAGTAATAACTGGTAAGATTATAGTCAGTAATAAATGAAGAAGCGCTTAGACCAAAACAGATCACCAAGCTTCAATGCTAATTTCAGTACCTCTAAAAGGCTAACAGAATTTTTACATTCACGGATAACAACAGGCTGATTAGAAGAATCATTTAGTTGCAGTAAGTAAATACTGGAAAGTAATGTGTTTTCAAAAGAAATAACCTTGAATAATGGGCAGACCTATTTCTAAACATGAGGTTTCCAGGAGAAATCATTACTACTTCTAGTAATAGTACTATTACTGTTGCTTATTATCTTTCTCTATAATTGAGTTTTTTTTTATCTTCTTAAACACTTTGGAACATCTTTGCAAGATAAAAATATTACAAGGCTCATCTTGCAGAGGAAAAACCAAATAAACCTGTTTATTTTAGAAGCAATGAGTTATTACTTGCCACTCTTCTGCGAGAGACTACATGGGAAAACAATTGCTGTGTGCCAGACTTGAGCAAACAGACTGGTTTCTGTGGCTAGGCTAGAGCGTCCCAGGGTTTTAAATCAGTCTTTCTACTGGTCTCACACCATATATAACAAATGTCAGTCCATTTGGGAGGTCAGTTCTTCATGGAAGATGTCATGGGTGGTCAGCATGGGATGTGGAGTATCTTTGTTATTTTGGTTGTTATATGTGGTCAGCATGTAAACAGTCCTACATCACAGCCTCCATCATCCCACAGCTGAAACCCACTCCTAGGACCCTGTACACATGCATATGCCTGAGAAGTTCTACAGCTGTCAATTCACCATGGCAGCCTGCCAGTCAGYGACCAACTCCAGGATTCACCAAACCTCTCTAATTCCAAAGAGAAATCTCAGCACAGCATTTATATTCATTATCAGAGGGGGAAAAATGGAAAGAATGTTTCAGATTTTTTTTCAGTTCATTACTTTATATTTTTAYTACATATTTTAGGCAGCTTATTTAAAAATGAATAAACTCATGAATGTCCAGGATAGAAAATATTAAAGAGCATAAAAATAAGGGCAATGGAACATTAAAGATGATAATAATCATGGAAAGTGAATATAAAACATTGAAGATGATAATAATCATGGAAAGGTGAACATAATGTTTTGCAAAAAATATTGGTAGGTATCACAAATTAGCATATATGAAAATATATGTGTTCTTTGGTATTCCTTTAGAATCTTGATTTGATATTTTATATATTAAAGAYATATAGAAGTCACTTTCTCTTAGGCTTGCTAAGTTGAATATTTTCCATGTGAACAGCAGAGCATACATTTGGTTTGTAGTCTCTAAACTTCTTAAACTCAGCTAAGTCAGGTGTTCAAAATCTCTATAGCCCTTGCCTCCTATTAGAACACTAATATATATTAGAACACTACTGTTCTTTAGCTGCTTATTTTAAAGTTATTTCATGAATTTGTCTGTAGCTGTGATTTTTAAACTTCTTGGGTCAGGAATCATTATTAATGGCTTCCCTAAAACCAAGAGAAGTGTTTCCACGATTCTCAGCAAGTTTTAAAAATCTTACACATTGAGATTATCTTCTTTATTTTGAATATTATCTAATCTGAATGTACATGCATCTTGATTCTCATCTTCTAAAACATTATAAGCACCTTTATAATAAAGTTTCCTTAGCATTGTCAAAGGACATTTCAATTGTAATGCTAAAAATGAGAATAAAATMTGCTTCTTGCAAATGAGAAGAAATAGCTCCAATTTGAAAAAAAATGTGGCAACTGGTATTTTGAATCTTATACAACTGGATTTGTTTGTAATATCCATCTATAGAACTACTGAGTAATTTTCTCCCTATAATTATAGCTTTCTAAATGATGACATTATTCCATAGTTGTTTCTCTGTACAACAATAAAATGAGTTGAAAACAAACCAGAATAATTCCTTCCCTTAGACCTTTTGTTCTGACTTCTCTGTTCCTCATTATTCTAGAGGAGTCCAAGGACATCAGACAAGCATTAGATCCACATTACCAAACAGCTTTCTCCTATTTTGAAGTAAATCACAAATATTATTATGATTTTTTCAAGGGATCTTAGGAAGAGAGATGAGATGGAGATGGAGATCCTTGTGAGAACAACACATAGAGGGAAATTTTTCAAAAGAAACCTATGAGCACTGGAGGAACCAAGGATGAAGTGGCAACACCCTGGCCAAAGATGAAGCTCCCTGAAGGAGGGGCACCACCCCRTCTGCTGAGGCTCTGAAGGGACCTGCCTTTGTCTTCCCACCCCCAGGGCCCACTGACTCCTGAGCACAGGGCTCATCATGAGAGGAGTGAGGTGTGGGAAGAGGCAGCCCACACTGCAGCTAGGGGCAGGTGCACCAGCATGTAGGAGGAAGTGCAGGGGCACTGAGAGTGTTAAAGGAATCTCATGGAGGAAAACAAAGGGAGTGGGCAAAAAAATCTTGAAAGCTAAAGGATTAAAGAAATCGGGCCTGGGAGTGTAGCTCAGTGGTCAAGCACTTGTCTAGCATGCATGAAGCCCTGGGTTCAACTCCAGCAACATAAAAAAAAAAAAAAACAGAAAAAGCAAACAAATAAAAAACCTTGGTTGGAGAATTAATCCATTGAATTGAAAAAAGTATCTGAGGGGAACACACACAAAAAATGTAGTTTTCACATTAGGGCACTAAAGTTTTAAATCATTCAGATCTTTCTGTTCTCAGGTTATCGGTGCTTTAAATATTATCTATAGAATGAAAAATATCAGATAAATATAACCATATGTGGTTGGTGTTATAAGATATCTTTAAATTTGTAACAATAAACATTGGTCTTGCCAAAGCCTCTCTATAAGGGGAAAAGAGAAAAAAGAAAAACAGAAAACTTGGTGACTTTAGACATTCAGCTAAGGAATAATTATGGTGCAGTAGGGCACAATTAAGACCATTTGGACTTGAACATGCAAAAACAAAAACATGAAATAAAATGCCACAATTCAGCAAACTGAGGATGAATCATGCAAGTCAGAAGGAGAAGCTAGAGGCTTTGTATATTTTAATACATGGAACAGAGAAATAAAATATTACTTAAAGTCAACTTGCTTCTCTTCCTAAATGTGAACCCAGGGTATATTTGTTAGATCTACATATTACCAGAGAGAATTGTTTTATCTTTGAAATGTATTTTGAAAGTTGAAATGTAAGAAATTTCAAAAATACTTATGAAATTAAAAAAAAATCTACTCACTAAAATATACAAGTGGAAATAAACATTAAAAATGTGTTAAAGTCTGAAACAATTATGTTCATTTTATGTACATTTTAATATAATGTATAGGTTGGATTTTGTGACTGCTGTAATTTCCTGTCTGTACAGAGAGATTTCTAAGAAATTGAACACTAAAGAATTACTTTTAGCTAAATAATTAAAAGAGAAAATGATAAAAATCATGTCAAATAATATATAGTATGGACTTACATATAATATAAAATGTTCCATAATGATTGCATCATGTTATTTGTGATCTGTCCAAGTTAAAAGCTTTCATAACAAAGTACTTAATATAGAAAATCCTGAGAGGAGAGAAATCTCAAAAATAAATAAATAAATAAATAAAGTAAAATAAGATCACTGGCCTACTTATTTTTTTCTTCCTGACTTATTTTATTACATAAGTGATGAAGGAACAAAGAATTTTAAAATTTAATATTTATAAAATAAATCAGATTTAATAGTTATTTGTCTATGAAAAAATGTGTAAGCATATGTGTGTGTGTGTGTGTGTGTGTATATATATATATATATATATATATGTATGTATGTATATGGGTGTGGGTATGTTTGTGTGTGGGAGTGTGTGTTGTATGTACACATATGCTTCTTGGCATGTGTGTGTGTGAGTGTGTGTTACTTCCTCATTAGTCTTAACTATGCCTAGGACGGCTTACTGTATTGTTCGGATGATAGTTGAGATGCAAGCCACTGTCACAAAGAGGAGAAGAGGTACCACTGCTCTGGTCACTTGGAGCACCTGCAAGAGACAAAATTGTAATATCCMACCAGTTAGGATGCCACACTGTTCTAGATGGCCACATTACACATTAAACTTTCTTTAATTCTCAGTAATGACAAAAAAAATCAGGTTCTAAAATAAAATTACATTTTCCTTATACCCAAGAGTTTTGCAAGTAAGGTATTGGGGCACTGCAAAATTTTGTTTCTCTACAAAGTTTCATTTTGTGTCATATTTCAACCTACTAGCAAATTTTATCCTTCATTGAATCTGTCTAATTTTGTGAAATTGTAATGATCCTCATGAGAAACTCAGTGATATCTATTTTTTTAAATATTAGYAATGTTTATCTTAAAGACTTCTATTAGTTTTCAATATACCATAATTTAATAATCCGACTTTAATACAGGTCAGATTACAAAACTTATTTCTTGACTTCTGATTATTTGTTTTTTTTCTAAAATATTATGATTTTTGTGGTTGCTAATACTTAAAATATGATCTATTAATGTCAATCATTTCTAATCATTATTTGAAATACCATACTTATATTCAAATGTCACAGATAGGTAGGTGATATTCCTATCATAACCCATTTGTTCAAAATATAAAATATTTTATTCTCCTTTTTTATTTCTTACTATAAAATTGTCTCTTTACTATTACATTGAAAATATTCCCTGTATAAGAATAAAGAATTAGCAATTGTGATCTCAACACAATTGTTATAGTATTGTTATGTGTGTGTGTCACAAATACTTTCTTTAATTCTTTAGAAAATTTGTAGAAACATGTAACACAGCTAAAAGTGATGCTGCACACCTTTAGTCTGTGAAGAATTAGGCAGGAAAATCGTGAGTTGGAGGCCAGCCTCAGCAACTAAGCAAGACCCTCAGCAACTGTGAACAAGACCCTGTCTCAAATTTTTAAAAAAATTAAAAGGTCTTGCTATACAGCTCATTAGTAAAGTGCTCAGTTTCAACCCCAGTGCCAAAAGGAAAGGGAAGAAAAGGAGGAAAAGACAAGAAAAAAAAAGAAAAATATGAAACCCATTCATACTGAATAATGAAGAAATTTTGAAAAATCTGAATAGACAAAACCAGTAAGGAGATTGGATCATGAACTTAAAACATCTTTAAAAAGATTGGCTCAGGACCAGAYGGTTTCACTAGAGAACTCTACCAAACATTTAAGGAAGAATTAACAATAAAAAAAAATGAAGAGGAGAGAATTTTTCCAACCTCAAGACAAGCATTATTCTGATGCCAAAGTCAGATAAAGATACTACAAAAAATAAAAACTATAGGCCTGTCTGTCAGGGGTTGAGCTGGGGGAATGAGAGACCGCTGTTTAAGGTATACAGAGTTTCAGTTTTAAAACCTAAGAAATTTCTGGAGATTTGCTGCATAACAGTGTGCATATAATTAACAGTACTGTATTGTACATTTAAAATGCGTAAGAGGGAAGTCTTATGTGTTATTTAGTACACTTTAGAAATATGTGTGGCAATTTATTAATAAGGTGATTTTTCATTCATCTTGTCACTTAATAATTACTCCACTAGATTTTTATTGTAGTACAATAAAATTGTGCAGTTGTCCAAAGACTTATATAGATCATTTATACTAGTTTTATTATTAATAGCAAGATACTGGAAATAGATGTGGTATTTTCAACATAAGATTACATTAATAAACCTAAATGAAATATCCAATGAAATATCCAATGAAATATTACATAGCAATATGAATGAACAAACTACTGAAATGTATAGCTTTGGTGAATCTAAAAGAAATTATTCATAATAAAAGAATCCTGACATAAAAATATAAAACTACACAGTATAATTCCATTCCAAATTGTTCTAGAAAAGGCAAAATAGTGATGGGAAATCATGTCAATGTTTGTTCCTGTGGCTGTTGCTTATTGGAAAGAGTTACTGAGGTTATGTTCTGATTGAAAGGAATGTGCATTAAGAASGTGTTTTCTCTTTCAGAACTGAACAAAGTGTGCATTTACGATTGTCGAATTTTGTTGAAGGTAGATTATTCCTCAGTTAAACATATATCTATCAATTTTGAGAAAAGTAATAGAGGATATGCATTTCATTTCAGCAAAAAAGAGCAAAGAAACTAATAGATGAAAAAGTAAGCCCAAATGTTCATCATGTCAGCTTAGGATCTGATTTCCTTAACATGACTCCTAAAGTACGAAAATARAATCAAGAATCAATAAATGGGATGGATTTAAGCTGAAAAGTTTCTTCTCGGCAAAGGAAACAATCAGTAATGTGAAGAGAGAGCCTACAGAATGGGAGAAAATCTTTACCACATGCACATCAGACAGAACACTAAGCTCCAGGGTTATATAAAGAACTCAAAAAACTTTACAGCAAAAGAACAAACAATCCAATCAATAAATGGACTAAGGAACTGAACAGACACTTCACAGAAGAAGAAAAAAAATTGATCAAGAAACATAAGAAAAAGTGTTCAACGTCTCTAGCAATTAGAGAAATGCAAAAGAAAACTACTTTAAGATTTAATCTCATTCCAGTTATAATGGGAACTATCAAGGATACAAGCAACAATAAGTGTTGGTGAGGATGTGGGGGAAAAGGTGCACTCAAACATTACTGGTGGGACTGTAAATTGGTACATCCACTCTGGAAAGCAGTATGGAGATTCCTTAGAAAACTTGGGATGGGGCCACCATTTGACCTAGCTATCTCACTCCTCAGTTTATATCCAAAGGACTAAAAATAAAAAAAAATAAAAAATCAGTATACTACAGTGATGTAGCCACATCAGTGTTTATAGCAGCTCAATTCACAATAGCTAACTATGGAACCAACCTAGATGTCTTTCAACAGATAAATGGATAAAGGAAATATGGTACATATAAACAATGGAATATTATACAGGTTTAAATAAGAAGAAAATTTTGGCATTTGTAGGTAAATGGATGGAGCTGGAGAATATCAGGCTAAGCGAAATAAGCCAATCCCCAAAACCAAAGGACAAATGTGTTCTCTGATATGCAGATGTTGATCCATAATGGATCGGAGGTGGAGGTGCATGCTAGGGAAGAATGGAGAAACTTTGGATTGGGCAGAGGGGAACGAGGGGAGGGGAAGGATGTTGGAATAGAAGGAACATTATTACCCTCATATTACATATGTATRTGTATGACTACATAAATGGTGTGACTCTACATCTTATATAGACAGAGAAATGAGAAGTTGTGGTCCATTTGTGTACAATGAGTTGAAATGCATTCTGATGTCATGTAAAACTAATTAGAAAAAATTTAAAAAGAGAAAAAAATACATCTGATAAAGAATTTTTTTAAGTAACTCTTATTTAAATTATTACATTTCCACAAAGGAAAATCCTTCCTTCAAACTTTCTACTTTTTTTCAGGACAACTTATGTATAAATTCCTACTTAACTAAGTGCATCATTTCTCAGCTAAATAAAATGTATTTATCAAATATTCTGAATAAAATTCAATACAAATACAAAATGCAAAATGATGTTTGTTATGATATTGAAACAAACAATGTTTCTTCAATTACAGGTTGTAAAAGAACTGTGTTGAATACTCTGAAACAAAATAACATTTGCCTTTTTTTTTTTTTTTTTTTGGTGCTGGGGATTGAACCCAGGGCCTTGTGCATGCAAGGTAATAAGCGTTAGTAGAACACCTTATGATTAAAATGTCAATATTTAGGTAGTCATCCYAATATTCAGACCAATAATTGCCAATTATTGGTCAGAAAATAGTRCTTAATAGAATGAATGTGATCATGTGAATATTTTATCCATTCTCTAAAAGTGCTTACATGCACAGTCTTCATTCAATGGGAGTTTAAGGAAGGCGGGTGCTCGTTTTAAAAATGAAACAGTTAGAGTCACTTCTTCTCCAGCATTTCGAAGAACCTGAACCTAAAAATAAAAAGAATTAAAATGAACATTTATCATTATTTTTATAATTTTATATGATTACAAAACATTGAAATTATTGGTTGTCTTTTCTACCTCCTGTCTGTCTTTAGTGGTCAGAAACATTTTTTTGAAATAAGAGGGAATCAATGACTCTACATTGTAATAATACAGCCTTTGATGTCCATCCTCACTGTTTTTCCAGGTGGTCTCCTTTTCATATACAATGTGCACGTCCATTCACATTTATTGAGGTCTTCTGGGGCTTATGGTCTAAACTACCTTTGCCTAATTAGTGGTACCAGGACAYGGAATCTGGAAAAACTAGGCAAAATGTCATGAAGCTACAGAAAGACAGATGTAATGTTCAAGTCATTGTTTATTAATTTAGTAATTATTTGGCACTGATTATCCAGAATATTGTCTAAGCTTTGCAAATATAAGAAAAAAAAAAGATGCTGAAGATATTGACCAAAGCACTAATTCAAGTTAAACAAAATCACACCAATTCAGTTAAACTGTTTACAAAAAAATAGGCATTATTTTCCTATTTCATCATTAAACCTGCTCTTTTCCCTGTAAACCTGGAGTATTTCGTGAATTATAGAATGAAAAAGTCTAGTTATACCAGTGAAAAGAATGTCAATTTCTCCCAAAATGAAAGCACAAAAAATGTTATTAATGTAAAATTAAAAATTCAAGGAAGACTAAGATGTAGGAGAGTTATTTRTAGATRTATATCTGTAACTTTAAATGCTCATGTAAACTAAGAGGAGCAATAAGAATAGTTAGTGAAGAATCAGTTCATAAACATGCAAATATAACTTGTTATGAAACATATAGAAAAACTCCTTCTTACTTGGTGCTTTCCATTTGGTCAGAAAATACTTCCCTGCTTAGAGGCACTGTATGACCAGGAACACTGGCAAGTTTCTTAAGACAAGTGTGCAGTGAGGGAAGCCGCTTGTTCCCTTCACACAGGGATCTCATATTGGTGGGTAGAGTCTAAGAGGGAAACCCCATGTTARTGCTTCCCCACACTTCCTCACTGGCAAGGGGCAACTCACCACAACAGGCACTGACATGGAAATGCTCTTGGTCACCAGTAAGAAAGCATACCTTTGCCTAATTAGTGGTACCCGGACGGACACTCAATCTGGAAAAACTCTTTCCACCTCCTTGGACAACAACAGCATGGAATCTCAGCCATAGAAATAGCCTTGAACATGGTGTAGAATTCATTTCATAGATACAAGAGTGAGACTCAGTGGTAGACCACTTGTCTAGTATGTGCAAGACTGGGTTCSATGCCAAGCACCACAAAAACAAAATATGCATTGTAAATGGAACCATAGAGCACAAAACTCTTTTTGAAGTAATTAATTCTTGCTAAAAAAGAAAACTATTTAGACATATAGTTGCCTATCATGATAAACAAATTGGCAAAAATGCAATAAAAATCATGTGTCAACCATGAGTATCACTTTGAAAATATCAATTTGAAAGAGAAAAGATAATCAACTAACAACATTGAGATAAATCACATGTTGGAATTTTCTGACAATTTTTTTTCAGTATATGACTATTATGTGAATTTAATTTATCTAACATAAATCATTGTTGTATCAGCAATACTAAAAGGGGAGAATTTCCCTTTTAATTAATACAAAGTAATTTGTGATATCTGATTCTATATTTTTTCCTAGCAATTTTGACATGAAAACAATGTTTATATAACTAAGACCTCCTTCTATTCCAAAGACAGTAATTCAAATRAAAACTTACCACAATTTGTATGATCATACTCAAATATATGTGGAACAGTGGATATTTGTTTAATAGTATATACGACATAATCTTCATATGAAATGTGAGAATGATGGTAATTCTAAGAAGTGAGAGGAAATTGAAAAACCTATGGAAATACTATTTTTTCTCCAGCTGCAAGTGAAATTGAGATTCAATGGATGCCTATATCCTCTGTGAATTTAAAGTTGATAAAAGAAATAATTCACCTGCTAAATGTACTGACAGCAGAGTACTCAAAAATCTCTACATCTTTAGTCTTAGTCACATATGAGTTGAGTTTCCTAGTTAGGAGAGAATGGCAGGTGTGGTCTCACCTGTATGTCCACCCCAATGGACAGTCATATTCAACAAATCTGRGCAAAGGCACAAATGGTATAAACACCCAGGGAGATCAAAATGTAAGTCTACTTACATGTTTGACAAGAATTTTAATGCAATCCTAATGAAAATGTTTCACAGAGGAAATACAAATCTTTTAAATAATTTTTAAATGAAAATTACAAAATCCCAGCAAAGGAATTTCAAGTTATAACAAAGATCCAACTGGAAATTATAGATCTGAGACCAAATAACATAATAAACATAATAAAATAATTTCTGTATTAGCTCAAAAATAGAGATGAGGAAGGATAGATCTAATGAAGATGAAGTAGAACAGTAGAATTTACCCAAAATGAACAGCAGAGATGATATAGATTTTTAAGAAACCATAGATTCAGTAACCCACATGATAAGAGCAAAGCATACAAAGTTTATATCAAAAGGGAGATGAGAAAGAATACTAAGACTGTAAAAATATGTAAATAATAACTGAAAAATTCTCAAATTGGGTCATAAACATGAGCCCACAGCCTTAAGAAGTTTGTAATAAACACTGAAAATAATGATAGTAGAAAAGAATTTTCTCAAATTGGTATAGGAGACCTATAAAAATAATAACATCATTATAAATGGTGAAAGATTGAGAGCCTTAAATCCCTGGGTTAAGAAAAAATAAAAGAATATCCATAATAACCACCTTTACTCAAAATTTTAATTGAGTACTATTCTAGGATGAGGGGATAAGTACCCAGATTCAAAAAGAAGATAGAAAAATCTTTTTTTAATATTTATTTTTTAGTTGCAGTTGGACACAATACCTTTATTTATTTTTATGTGGTGCTGAGGAATGTATCCAGGGCCCTGCACAAGCTAGGAGAGCACTCTACCACTGAGTCACAACCCCAGGATCCCCCCCACACCCCCCAAACGAAAATCTTTATCTCCAGATTACATGATAATGTATATAGACAATTCAGGGGGTAAAAGTACTAAAACTAATAAGTGTTAATAGTTATTTTTAGCAACACTGCAAAGTATGAGATAAATATACAAATAACAGTTATTTTTCTGTGTCTTAGATATTAGAATTTCTTACTTAAAAACTAGCACCATTTATAAAAAGAACAAAATACAAAATACTTATGTATTAACAAAAGTTATGAAGTTCTATACATGTAAATCTCCAAAACATTTCTAAGAGTAATTTTAAAATTCGTAAATAAGTGCACCAGAGAACTCAATACTGGTAGGATAAGGGCAATTCCAATGTGAAGGCAGCACTTTTCTGCAGAAATTGACAACTGTATTCTAAAATTCATGTAAAAATTCAAGAAATATAGAATACACCATCTCTGAAAAGTTTTGTTCTTCACAATTGTTAACATTACTTGATTTCAGAAATTATACAAAGTATCAAGTCATGTGAAATTGTCAAAAAGGAGAGACAGATGAAATTTGGAGAGTKTCCAGAAACAGGCACAAATAGAAATTAAAAAAAAAAAAAATTTCAACAAAAGTCAAAGAACAATCTTCCAAATCAACAGTGCTCTGGGAATCTCAGGCGTAATCATTAAAAATAAAAGAAAAAAAAAAGAATTTCAACCTGTACCTCAAACTACATACTAAAACTACATTAAAGTGAATGAGAGATATAAATATAAAACGTAAAATTATAGAATCCCTAGAAGTGAACTTTGAAGAAAATCTTTGTGACAGTACAGTAGAAAAAGATTTCTTAATTATTACACATAAACAACCCACAAAAGAAGAAATGATTAAATTGGAAGTCATAAAATCTTAACCATTCTGTTGTATGAAAGACACTCTCAAGAGAGCTACAAGCTATGAGGAAATGGATCTTTATCTGATAAATTATATAAAGAATTCTCAAAAATCAATAATAAAACAAATGATCCAGGAAAACATAGGCAAAATTCTTAAGCATGTATGTCCCTAAGAAACTTATATTTATGGCAAATGAGTGCATAAAAATATGATTGACATGATTAGAAACCAGGAAACTGAAAATTAAAACAACAGTGAGATACCTACTCTAATTCTTCTGAAATGTCTAAATTATAAGTGCCTAAGATTACAGACTTGGGCAAGGTAGTGGAGGAACTAGGAATCTCAGGTGTTGATCATGTAATAAAATAAAATGCACAACTTTAGAAAAGACCTTGGAAGTTTCAAAACATTGATATGTAAACCTACTATAGGATCCAGGACATTTATTTTCAGAAATTTGCCAAGTGAAATGAAAGCTTAAAGCTTTACAAATATTTTTTCACTAATGCTCATAGTAGCTGCATTTGCGATCCTCAGAAACTGCAGACATCTTAAATTTCCATCAAAAGGTGAATGGATAARTAAACAGAGGTATACTTTTATAACAGAATATTATTCAACAATAAGAAGAAATGAAAATGTACTATTGATATAACTGTAAACTGAAAGAATGGGAAAGAGTATAAAATAATTACACTGAGTAAAAGAAGTCAGGTAAAATACTCTCCATAATGCAATTTTATTTATATAAAATGGTRGAAAATGGACACTAACTTATAGTGTTACAAAGCAAATTAGTTATCTCACTAAAGGGAAGGAAGGAAGAAGTGAAAGAATCATAAGGTGGCAAAATAAAATGGTAGGGTAAATGAAAATTTGATCTTGACTATGTTGTTGACTTTTAGATAACGAGCTGAGAATAAATCTCAATAAAGTTTTAGATGTAAGTGATAACAAACAGGCACATATATGTACATGTATACCCAGATATATCAAACTGTCAAATTGTGTACTATTTAAAGCATGTAGAGTTTATTGAATATAAATTGCATTCCAATATGAGTGGTTTTATCAACACAAAATAT